TGTGTGTGTGTGTGTGTGTGTGTGTGTGTGTGTGTGTGTGTGTGTGTGTGTACCTGGAGAGCCGTACGACGCGGACAGCAGCCACCGGACGCTGGCGCAGATCCGAGCCCGGTTGAAGTCGTACTTGTCCAGCGGCTTGATCTCCGGCACGGCGAAGGCTTTCTTCACCGCAGCGTCCGGAGAGTCCACCATGACCGCGGTGTGCCGCTCCGAGGAAGCAGGAGGAGAAGGAGGAGGAGGAGGAGGATGAGGAGGGAGGGCGGATGGAGGAGGAACCAGTGGTGATGCAGATACGAGGGGGTGAAACATTACAAATAAAAATAAAAACAAAGTCCTAAGGGGATATTCAATACACGTGTCCACAGAGTGCTGCAAGTGCTATGTTTAAAATAAAATGTAAAAAAATAAAAATAAAAAAATAGGTAACTTCATTCGTCAATCCACGCCCCCCTCTGAACGTCACGCGTCAGCCGGAAAACCCACCAATATATAAATATAAATATATTTAATTTCTAGCTACTGCAGAGCAGCCAGATCTTTCCCAGAGGCCCAAAGCGACGCCTCTCTCCTACAGGAGCGACGGTTCAGGTTCAGGGAAATCCCTCCAGCAGTACTTCCTCTCCGCCACACGAGGGCGCCCTCGAGCCGCGAGTAAAATCAATAAATAAAYGGAGATTTAAAAAAGGCTGTGGCAGGTAAGAGTGGAGAGTTTCAATTCCATGGCTTTCCAGTAAAATTTAAAATAACTGTATGAYGCCAGTAAACATGTGAGAAAGGCTTCTTCACAGCTCTGATGATTCTAGGACATTTAAATACATTCTCTGTTTTTCTGCCCCTTTTTTTGCATTTTACTTTGTCAGTATTTAAGCCATTCATAAATCAGAATGTTCAACTCATTCAGGAAGTAGCAAAGTGATAAGACTTTAGGTTTCTGTAAAATTTAAACCTTTTACTCAATATTTAAATTHAAAAAWATATTTTCTAAAAATCTGCTTGTTTTGGTCTTCAAGCTTACAAGCATCCCCCCCTTTAAGCTGATAGCATTTTCATGTTTTAATATTTTTAGCTTTTTGCTACTTTCATATATTTTGGTATTTTCGCTTTCATTTCTGCTGCTTTTAATTTATATCTAACCTTACCTTTAGCTTTTATCTAATATTCTACTTTTAATTTATATCTAACCTTACCTTTTCTCTAATATTTTGCTACAAGCCTTTTGTTGCTCTGAGCTTTTAGTGTTTGATTAGTGTTTTGGCTTATTTTATCTAACATTTTGCTACATTTGGTGTTTAGTTCATGTTTTGCTTTAGCATTTAGCTGATGATCTGCCCTTTTTTAAGCTGTAACACCTCAATTTCAATCTCTTTAGTAATTTTCAGCTCAGTATTCACTGGACCTGTTTTTACTCTTAGATTTCAGTTTTCAGGCTATTACTTATTTTAATTCCTTTAAACCATCATCAAATCTGCAACAGCTTTTGTACTCATTGTTTTGTCTGCTTACATCTGTTTTTAGACTTTTTTTTGTCTCATAGTCTTGGTTGTTTCAAAGATGATCATATTGGGATTAAATGTTTAGATTATAACAATTTCCATGTGCTTAGGGTTATGTCATGGTCATTTAACATGATTTGTTAAAACAGCTGAGTCCAAATTTATTGTTTTGCAGTCTTTTGTATCTGTTCATGTGACACTTTGTGGTCCCTATGTAGCATTTCATTTAAGAGTTTTTATTTAGATTTAATGACCATACAGCTTTGATAGCTGATCCAGTATAAAGCCATTCTTGTGATGCTGAAACAGAAAATCTTCAAAGATTCACTGAGTTCTGTACATTATAAGTTAAACAGAAAAATGCAGTCTACTAACAAAAACTGTAAAAATCTATAAATGAGACTTTTCCAACATTTTCCAGGTAATAGTTCATGACCTTATCCTTACTCAGGTTCATATCCTGTATTTAGTTTGGTGACTAGAAAAGCAAAAGCTCGAGGCCTGAAGAATGTCACAGAACCAGTTCGTTCGGTCTGACCTGGATGAGGCTGCATTTAGAATTGAGGAAACAAGTTTCAGACGTCTCACGGCCGATCTTTCCATCAGATACAGAGAAGGTGGTTAGTTGGCTTCTTCTTATCATGGTACAGCAGAAAGTCAGTCCTTCTCACATTTGGGTATTCACTGAAGAAAAAGAAACTTGTGCTCGAATTGTGAGGAAGACTGGAGGTAAGTAAACATGGATCTGTGTGACGCGTTTATGTTGAATGTAAACAAGAAACATGTCGCTTTTCTTCACAATCATGTTTTAGACAATGTATTAGTATCAACTTACAAGTTAATGCATTTAAAAGCTATATTTACAGAGTGTAAAGCTGTCATTTTAAAGCTTATTCAGCATATTGTTAAAGAAACCAAATGGCTTTCAAAGTGTTTGTATACATCCTGAACAGAGAAAATAAATCATGTTATTTTTAGTCTTTTTTTCCTGTTGTTGCCATTTTTAAGTTTTCAGAAACGTTATTTTGTCCCAGTTAAAACAAAAAACCCTCAGAAATAAACAGTTCGCAAATGCTTCTGACATTTGTCCATTTAAATGTTTTCCTTCTTCCTCTGCAGGTTGAGGAGCGATGGGCAGCTCCTCCTCAAAGACAACTCTCTTTGGGAAAAAGAAAAAGAAGTCGCCTCTGGACAAGGCCCTGAAGCGACTGAAGATGGYGCTGCCGAAGAGGAAAAGCAGTAAGAGGAAGAAGAGCCTTCTGCAGAAACTGAACCTGGATAAGCAAAAGAAGAATTCCCAGAAAAAGAAATCCAAGACTAAAGACAAGAAGAAGGAACCCCAGTCCTTTAATGGCTTTTTTCTGGGGAAGCCAAGGGTGGGTTTTGGTAAAAACACTTCAGACAAAAGGAAAGAAAAGGACAGAGAGGAGCCGGGTGGGCTCGGAGACAAGATAAAGAAGAAGCTCTCTCCAGATAAAGTTGGACTCGGTGCTAAACAAGAAGTTGTGACAGAAGAGGAGAAAAAAACACCTTTACAAAAGCTGCAAGACAAGATGCGAGCCAGCCGTGTGACAGAAACTAAAGCGTGCTGATAAACTTCACTCAGTCAAAAGAACTAGACTGGGCTGAAAYGAAGAGTCAAAAAAAAATACACGTTTGTCAAGTTTTTCATGACATTGTTGAGAGTTACATCATCACTGCTGAATAAGACAGAACCTTCACATTTACCTGTCAGTTTAACTTGATGTGGACAGATGCTGCTCTGGGTTCAGCATTAAAACAAAATCARCATTTAAAATGTAAATATTCCGGTTTCATTTTCCATTAAGCTGAGTCGCTTCTGACACTTGGCTGGTTGCACTGAATACTGCAYGTCATATAAATAAAGTACTGTATCACAAACAGTTTATTGGTAGTCAGTTTAGCAGAAACTAACAAACACAGTGACACAGTTGTATACAGTGTATGTACAAAAAGTATACAACAACTTGAATCTGCTGAAAATGTGAGGAAAAAAACATGTTTGGCACAACCTTACAAACTCATATTTCATTTATATTAAAAAAAATGTCAGAAAAATATTCACTTTGAGAGGTTTGTAGGTCTGTAGGATGCACAGTTATTACACAAAATATGGCAATATAATAAAACATTTAATATCCAACTGAAGTGGACAATCTCTAAATGGCACCAAATGTAAAAATAAGCATTTTCTAAAAAAATAAAAAAATAATTTAAAAGCCTACACAGTCAGTACTGCTTTATAGGATAATAGTTTAATCAAATGTCTATTTTGCCATGTTGTGAAGTTTGTCCTTTTATTACATTTGTACAGTTCATAAAACAAAAAAAAAGTGGTCAAAGGGTTAAAAATAAATACATAAAAGTAAGAGTTCATGTATTTGTTAGTGAGATTCTGTAGAAATGTTATGAACAGTTCATATCTTATCTGYTGTAGATAGTTCTTTGAGGAACCTTAGTTTGGAGAAAACAGGTTTAAACTCGACTTGATTGATGAGCTAAAGGCTAGTCCGAGTGAGGCTATAACCAGACGGAACTATTGAGGTGTCAAGTCTCAGTTATAGCAGTTCCTGAAAACACTGGTTTATAAACATCTTGTCAGAATTTTGTGCAATTAGCAGCAGTAGCTAGCTGTAGCATTCCAGGTCCAACCTGTGGCACTTTTACCAGGAACATATTTCTGCTTAAAACCTTGTAAAAATCCTGTGTAATGCAAAACTGATGGCAGTGGAGAGGTTTATAAAACGGTAATAAAAAAAAAAACTAAAAAGTTTTGATTGGCATTTGAAGACAGCAGCAGCATGCTCCGACTAGCTATAGGCTCATCATTCTGCTCAAAATTCAACTTTTTCTCCAAACTGAGTTTGTTCAGAGAGCCATCTACAACAGGTAAGACACTCATTGTTCACAATCTTTCCACTTCTCCCCACTTTGAAAAAATAAATCGGAACTATCGAACAATCTTCACTGCTGAACCTAAAGAGAAACCCTGATGAAGGTTTTAGTCAGTGCAGGAATCCATCAGGAATTTAATTAGCTAAACCAAATCAAATGTGAAGTTCAAATTTGGATTAAAAAATAAATAAAATAAAAAAAGTTTTAGAATTTAGTATCACGTAGAAAGTTTTTGTTGCAAGAGATATTTACTCAACCTGATAAACTGACAGATTAATAACAGTTTAGAAAACATTAAACCAAAACTTTTAAATAGTTTTGATTGGTTTATTTATAGAAAAAAAATTCTAGCTGCAATAAACTAAGATTTCTTGCTGTTTCACCAACATTTGTGTGGAGGTTTACAGGCAGGAAACATGCAGCCTCACAGAYACAGACCTGTTCACGGTGAGCAGTTTTTATAGAAACTGTTAATTCTCTCTGATCCAGGTTATGATCTGAAGYTAAACCGACCCGACAGCTGATCCACACTCACGTCATGGCAGGGCGCTCATTTTGACATCATGTCTAGTTTGGGGAAGAACCAGCTCATCCTTTGAGTTAAAATCTCTTCTTTTTTTTTTTGTCTCTTCAAAGAGTCCAGACTGATGCTGTGAGCTGTTGCGTCCTGCGATCTCACCCATCTCAGGAAYATTTTAAGCTGGAGTTTATTTTGTGTGAAAACAGTTGCTTTTGGTCATCAGGGAACTCATCTCCCACTAATACTGGAACTCACCGCAGCGTCAAAAAGTAGTTCTATTAAAAATAAAAAAAAAATTCAAATAAATAGAAAGAAATACTTTTGGACTGCTGTGAGTTGAGACCTTTCGAAGCGTCCTCCTTTAAGTCAAACGTTCTTTCATGTTGGACTTTTGTTGTTTGCCTTCTGTTCAGTCGGCTGGAGGAGCTGGGTTGTCGTTTGTGCCTCGACGGATGAGAGGGACCCCGTTGGTGTCCTCTTTCTTCCGGACGGTACGAAGCCTGTAAGTCTAGCAGCAGACRGATGAAAAGACCAAAAGAAAATAAAGAATTAGGGATTAAGGGCAGGAAAATTTGTTAGAAAAACAAACAAATAAAAAAAGGGTGCAGATTAGTCAGGTCCAAACAAGCAAACAGAAAAAAAAAAAACAAATGGAAGTCTTTCCTCAAAAGTTCTGTTAGCAACCCTAATCACCATGAAGAGCATCACAAAGGCAAGCAGACAGAGCAGACAAACAAAAACAAATAAACCAGTAACCAGAATCCAGATTGTGCATTTATTTATTTTTTTTTTCAATTATAAATGTATGTACAAAAATAAATCCCAGAAAATTTGAAATAAAAAAATAAGAAAGGGGGATAATATGAAAATAAGTGTTTACATGTTGGTTAATTTAAAAATCTGAAGACAAACATTGGAATATACAGTCACTCTACAACTTGTGGTAATTGTATTCAGGAGTACACATAAGTAATGATTTACTGTTGCCAATAAATGAATCACTGCAGATTTTACGATCAAAACACAGGAAAGACAAGGAACTCTGCCTCGCTCCTCTTCCTGCTCAAGTTTTTCTTTCTGATCTTCTTAAAAAAAATTAAAAACCACGGAACACGTAGTTTCCGTGAATCACTGTTCTTACTAAAAATACACATGTGCTACATACAATACACTTGTCATGGTATTTCCCTGTGCGTGTGAGAGAGACTGTATATTTACAACAAACACACATACCACAGTAACAAGTCAGAGGAAACATGGCAAGAAACATGACCTGCTCCAACCACCAGCACACATCTGGACCGTTTTAAGACAAGCACACAAGTTGACACACGTTAACAAACTGCGCTGATGAGACAGAAATGTTGCGGTCACCATAAACGGACAAACATCTGCACGAGGCAGCAGAACGGCTCCAGGCATTTAGGTTAGCAAAATAAAACTTTTTAACTGGAGGCTAAATAGGGTCATTGAGGGTCTCTGTTACGTCGAAGGAGTTAAAACACCTCTCGGAGCTCACAAAGAACAGGTTTTTGATAAACATTTTTGCAAAGAATTTTGTCTGCGTAAATAGTGGGTCACGTGCAGAGCTCAGAACAGGATTACCAAAGAAAACAAAGAATGGGGACCAAGTCAGTGTTAAAATTCCTGAGACGAGTCAGTTCTTGTGTGCAGCCGAGAAGGTGCTGCAGATGCCAGAGATACTTGACAGAAATACAAAAACATGCAGAACAACATTAGCGAACGCAGCTGCAGCCAAACGTGCTGAAACGGGTGACGTTCGCACCTAAAGCTGGGCTCAGACACTTTTTCTGTGTGTGAAGAAATTAAAATGTGATTATTTCACTTGGTTCAACTAAGTCAGTAAATTGTAGTAAAAAGCTAACAAAAGTTAATTTTTTTTACCATAAATGTTTAAATTTTTAACCACTAAATACTGAGAATTGTGAAAGCGAAAAGGGTTGCAGCAATGCTCTGTGGTGCTAACCACAGCTAACATTAGCTTGCAAGCAAAAAAAAAAAAAACCTTCACTAATATTTGACTGAGGCAAATGTTGAATTTAATCTTGTAGAATACCTTGTAGTTATCTTTTTTTAATCTTGGTTTTTTAAACATGCACGTTTGACAATGTGCATAAGCTCACAAATTTGGATATCTTGTTAAAGGCAAATGCTAAATTTAAAAGTTGATTTTAAAGAGCAAGCTAGTAAATTTAACTAATCTTTGCAAAGTAATGGTAAAAGCTTTGGGCAATAACATTTGAATTAGTAAGTTCAAAGTTCCCACCACCAGTTTGYTGTAGCCTAAAGGCTTTACAGCATYGTGCTGAATGRCTTSGTTATTTGCAKCTGAAGCTGCGCATTCTCACTTATTGATGCATTTTGTAATATACTTTGGTAAAGTAAATTTGTTGGAACAGCTGACACACAAGGTTGCATCATGTTTTTGAAGATTGCATAGAGCCGTTTTTAATCAATGAGCCTATGCACCAGTCAACATGGTGGTACTAAATTTTCCTTTAAGTCAAATGCCAATACTTTATGGATGTTTGTTTTTTTTTAATTATACAAATGTGCAATTTAAACTAAATTTTAGTCTGCTTCTCTGCACATTTACAGTAGATATGAGCGTCGGCCCAAAATGGAAAAAAAAAAAGAAGTACAAAACAATAAAAAAAAGTGTGATTTTTTTTTCTTTCTAAAAATCTACAGCTACACTCACAGGTCACTTCATTAGGCACACTTTGCTACTGCCAGGTTGGACCCTCTATATGCCATCAAAACTGTCTTAATTCTTCAAGCTAAAGCTTCAGTAACATAAAGAAAAAAATTGTATAGGTCTTCTGGACGGGTTCTCCTCTAATGAAACGTTTCAT